AGTGGAGTCTACATAGACAGCTTGTTCCCGAATATCTAGTTTGGCTGGTTATGGCAACGTACTCAATTACAAAAACTGGTCAGCACAACAGCCGGTAATACAAATAAACTTGATATTAACGTCGGCGACCATCAGGGATCAATATTCAGCCCCCTGCTCTTCATCACGGCGATGGAAGAAATAACCAAACCGATAAGCTCAGATAACATATGGAATGTGATATATGCAGATGATATCGTTCTGACGGCGGCCTCGGAACAAGACGCAGCCAGAAAGTTTGAGGTCTGGAATACCCAGCTCGCCGAACACAGGCTAAGGGTAAACCTTTATAAAACAAAAACTATGATCGCCGGTGGTACCGCTGAGCCTGTGGTCGGTCTCTGGTCATTGGTCATGTTTGGTGTTTGGGGCTGGAGTTGGAAGCAACTCGATCAAATGTCTACGATGTCAGCAATGGTGTCACAAACGATGCTCGAAAATTACCGACTCTCTGACTGATTTTGTATGCCCATCTGCATCAACCTGCGACAACGGAGCCCAGAAGATGATACGATTACCTTGATTGAAACTGTTACTTCATTTCAGTATTTGGGAGAAGTGCTGGATTGTACTGGAATAGCTGATGTCGCCGTTCGTGGACGCATATGTGCGGCGTGGGGCAGATGGCAACTCCTTGCTTCGGTACAGTAGCATTCCTCTACCGCTACGCTCAAAACTATACAACCCAGCTATACATTCTGTTCTGAGGTATAGTGCAGAGGTATGGTGCAGAGACGTGGCCGATGACAACAAAACTCGAACAGCAGCTTTACAGAACTCACATGAAGAGGATTTGTTGGATGCAGCATGTTGACCTAAGGGACCATATCCATACAAACGAGATCCTGAACCGATTCGGACTGTGCACGTTGAAGGATGCATGTCGTCGTCATCGCCAACGATGGTTTGGCAGGTTTGCGGAAAACTCGCCCCCAGACAACTCGCCCCCGGACAACTCGCCCCCGGACAACTTGCCCCCGGACAACTCACCCCCAAACAAATCGCCCCCAGACAACACGTCCCCGGACATTCACCCCCACGACTTGCCTCCTAAAACTCACTCCCGGACAACTGGCTCTCAAACTACTTGCAGTACAATACAAAACTTTTCGGGAAAAACATTTTTTGGATACAAACAAACATTCGCTAAATTAAACCCGTCGTTTTTCTTTTTTAAAAATAAATTACAGTGACGAAATATGTTTCAGGAAAGATGATGACCGGCTTTGCCTCAGAACGTCGCTGATTTGGTGATTCTTCAAGTAATGCCTATATATATATTTTCCATTAAAAGTTTTTGTTAGTTGAATAATATTTGTTTCAGAATCTTCAAAAAATAACTATCGACTGCCTTGTACAAAATTTTTTAATTTTCCGAACAGGAACTTTTACCCAGTCGTATTCCACACAAGCTAGCTTGCAGATTCTGGCTCAATCAACTGAATTGTTTGCGACGGTACGTTCAGCACTGTTCCGCAGTTGTTCGAACAGCTATACTTTATTCATGTCGTCTATTTAAATTCGGTTATTCCATGAGTATTTGCTCTTTTGCCAAATAAAACGCGTGCCACGTTTGCCAAAATGTTGCTCAAACTGAAGAACGTGCAACCTGGATTAAGACCGTCATGTCTGATGACTGACTTTGAGCAAGCCGCCATGCAAGCAGGTTTTTAATTATCTATGATTAAAAATAAAATTATCATTTTTAATTTTATGATTTACACGCATTCGACCATGAATTCCCAGAAATTGAAAAAACGGGTCGTTTTTTCATCTATCACAATGCGTTTGGAGGCGAGTACAGATGGAAGGTTTGAAAGTAAACAATTTTTTGCGTTTTTGAAAATATGTATTTTTTAAATTTTACAATACTATGGTAATCAAATTAAAAAATCTTATTTGTAGGCAGGTACAAAGTTGATCACAAATTTGCCCGATGAATAAATTAGGATTACTAAGAGTAATATTATTTTTTATTATTCTTTTTATTATATTTTCATCAATCTTAAATGACGATGACGAAAAGTTACGATTATACATTATGATATGGTTGTTATCCTATGTCCTGGTTATGACATTAAACTGACCCTCACTTGCTTGTGAAAGATGTTGGATCATCAAAGGCTAGGCCCACCGCTTATAACAGTGGTTGCGTAAGGAAGGGCGTCCTGCGTAAAAATTAGCCAATAAAAATATTTATGATGACAAAAGTGACAATGGCCTTCAGTATCCGTAGAAGAGGGTGCGAAGAATATCCGGAGACCCAGTCCATGGGGTTGCAGTGCAAGGCCATGTAGATGGTCTGGCTACTGGCACCTCACTCTATAGTGTGGCGGTGCAAGGCACTATGGATGGAAGGATTATTTGTAGACCAAGGGATTGGAGGTTTGATACCTGGAATTTAGGCACGTTGACAGGAAGGAGTTTGGAAGCGGTGGAAGAGTTGCAGAGGAGAATGGTTGACGTGGCTGCATTACAGGAGATCAGATGGAAAGGAGAAGGTACAAGGTTTGTGGAGGCTAAAGATGGAAGGTATAAGTTGTGGTGGAAGGAGGATGATGGTACGAGAGGAGTTGGTGTGATGGTAAGAAAAGAGTTGGAGGAGAAAGTGTTGGAAGAGAGGCGGAAAAGCAATGGTGTAATTGTGGTGGTGATGGTCTTTGGAAAGGTAATAGTGAGGGTAATATCAGGATATGCTCCGCAACAAAGCAGGAAGGAAGAGGAGAAGATAGGTTTTATAATGATGTTTCTGACGAGATTGGGCAAGCGGGGTTGGATGAGTTTGTGGTGTTGTTTGGTGATTTGAATGGTCATGTGGGGGCAGATGCAGACGGATATGAAGGTGTACATGGGAGATGGAGATAAGATATACGGAATGAGGAAGGGCGTAGAGTGTGGAGTTGGCGGATCACATAGC